GCAAATTTCTGAATCTCTTTGAGTGCCCACAGGGCATGCTTCTTGAAGCCCACTCCATGAATGCGCTTGTGAGTGTTGATGGTGTATTCTCAGGTCACCACCTCGTTGATGGCAGAATGGCCCTTTTTCTTCTTGCCACCCTTCTTTGTGGGAGCCGTTCTGCTGGGTCCAAGTTGGAAAGGGAGAACTGAGACTTTAATTTAAATCCTAATTCTGCACTAACTGACTGTGCAGCCTTGGTCATGTCACTTAACTCTTCTGTGGCTCAATTTGCTTGTCTCATTATAACGTTGAAAGCATAAGGGAAAGAATTGTTACAAAACTGGATTCATCATTGAAATAAATATAACAGTTTTTATTTCAAGAGAAAGTGCTTGATATTCAAGATAACTGATGCATGCATAGAAAGGGTAAGATATCCCAAATTCATTGCAATTTAAGCACAATTTTTCAGATTTTAAAATTTCAGAAAGGCAAAATGAGAAATTTATTACATCTACTGTAACAGGGAACAAAAAAATTATACTCATAGATAATATTTTTAAAACTATTGTAATTAGTGTTTTCTTTCTCTTTGACTTAATTTTTGGCCAAATGATACCTAGTAAAAACATATATTATTGACTTGCATTTCAATTTTACATTAATTCATTTGTTCCTTTACCAATTCAATAAATATTTATTGAGCTCCTACCAATTGCCAGGCAGTGTTCTAAGTGCTGGGCAAACAGTGGTGAAGAGAAGAAAGTCTGTGTTCTCAATGAGCTTACGGGGCTATGGGGATAATACACAAATATTAAAAAGTAAATCTATAGTATGCGAGTGTTAAGTGCTAAGGAGAAACATAAAGTGTTCCAGAGTGTGAGAGGCAGGGAGGGAGGTGTTGCAAATTTAAAGTGAGTGATCCAGGGGAACTCTGAGAAAATGACAGTGATGTAGCAACCAGCATGAAGCAAGGATGTAAGTCTTGGAGATTTCTGGGTTATATCATTCTAGGCATGAGGGAAAGAGTAAATGCAAAGGCCCTGAGGCAGTCTAGTGCTTGGTATGCTCAAGATATTTCTTGAGGCCATTGTGGGTGGAAAACAGAGTAGCTGTTGAAGGTCAGAGAAATGGCAAGGTGCAAAATCATGAAGGATCTTACAAGCCATTGAAAAGATTTTGACTTTTACTCTTAGGGAGATGAGAAGTTGCTAGATGACACTGAGCATACACGTGACATGATTTGGCTTTTGCTTTAAAAGGATCACTCTGGCACCTGCTTTGGGAATAGACTATAGGCAGCAAAGGCACAAATAGAGCTCTGGTTAAGAGACCATTACAACATTCTAGGCAATGGATGATAGTGACTTAAACCAGGTGGTCATGGTAGAGATGGTAAAAAGCAAACACATTCTGGATATGTTTCAAAGGTCAAGTAGTAGAGTGTTGCTGATGCATTGGATGTAGTAGGTAGAAAAAAAGAGGAGCTAAAGGCAACTCTAAGGTATCTGATCTGAGAAACTGGGTCCATAGAATTGTCATTTACAAATCTGGGGACTACTGTGGGAAGATCAGTTTTGAGGGCCAGTTAAGAGTTCATTTTTTGTTCTGCTTAATTTGAGATGTCTTTTGGATATCTCATTTATGAATATATCTCATTTAGAGAAGTCATTAATAAGTAGTTAAATATGTAAGTCTGGAATTCAGGGAAAATGTGTGGGCTGGAGAAATACATTTGGGAGTCAGCAGACTATAAATGAAATCCAAATGCGTGAAAGGGGATGATATTACCTGCAAAGCACATGTGGATACAGAAGACTGAGGATGCAGATCTCTTTCATCGCCCAGTCACTCCTGGAGAGAGTACTAAAGAGTGTAAAAGGAAATGGAGAAGAAAAAGCTAGAGAATCCACAAATTGTACAAATTGTTCATTCATTAATCAAATATTTATGAAAATTTGTGATTTGCCAGAAATTCTGCTAGCCATTAAGAAAACAACATAGCAGACCAGACATGGGCAGTGTCTTCAAGTAGTTCATATTCATCAAGATGAACACTCAAGGACAAGGGTAGAGATAAACTGCAGTACATATTGTTGAACAGCAATGAAGAGAAGGAACAGCAAAGTAACAATAGAAGTATGGAACTGACTCCAAGGTCTGAGGAGGACAAGAAATTGCCTTTAATCTACCTCTGCCTTCAACAAAGACAAGCCAGGCCTGTGGGAATTCTGGGCAGCAAGATAACAGAAAACACAAATTAGAACAGAAGAAAAAAAGATTGGTGGGGGAAGAGTGGGAATGTAGGAACCAACAGAGACTGCACTGTCATCTTTAGCATAAAATAGCGGTTACTTGGCCTATATTTTAGTCAACTTTGACACGTCTAGAGGCAAACATTGGCTTATATCTTTTCTGAAAGGGTATGTTTCATTACGTAATGCAAATATTTCCTAATGAAACAACAGTTTCACTACTCAGAATTGTATTCTAATGAATTGTATTTTTTAATTCAACTGCAGCTGCTATAACTATAAAACAAATTGCCTAGGATGTTAAATACTTTCCTTTTCAAAAGCAATACTGAAGCAACCTCGTAATACACTTCGAAGTGTGTGATTTGAGGAGATTTGAGCTCAATTATGAAAACTAAGAGCAAAAGGAAAAATGTCACCAGAATTTAAAAACAAATAGAAGGCCAGGCACGGTGGCTCATGCCTGTAATCCCAGCACTTTGGGAGGCCGAGGTGGGTGGATCACCTGAGGTCAGGAGTTCAAGACCAGCCTGGCCAACATGGTAAAACTCCATCTCTACTAAAAATACAAAAAAATTAGCCAGGTGTGGTGGTGGGTGCTCCCAGCTACTTGGGAGGCTGAGGCAGGAGAATTGCTTGAATCTGGGAGGTGGAGGTTGCCGTGAGCCAGGATTGCGCCATTGCACTCCAGCCTGGGCAACAAGACTGAAACTCCATCTCAAAAATAAATAAATAAATGAAGGAGAAAGAAGAAAATATTAATAGTTAGCTATTGAATAAAGATAATTTGACAATCATTTCTTGGGGGACTACCATGTGGATGCCATGAAGAAATAGGCAATAGTTACAGGGTTTTGTTAACTGTACCTTATCTGGGCTCACATTGTTGGATAGCTGGGTTAAAAGGGCAAGGATGGCTTCAGCACAGTTTCCAGAACCCAGTTGGCCAGGAATCTGATTCTCATGCTACCTAAAACAGGTTCCTTGAACCCTGTTATTTAGTAAGCCTGGCATTGGATCCTAGGTATTCTTTTGATTTATTTGGAAAAAAATCCCACAGTTAAGTTGGGGAGTCGTTTCGGCTCCACCATTTTTCTTACAGCTTTACTCATGAGTGCAATGATGCAGAAATATGAAGTAATTGTTAGGGTGGGAGGAAGCTTCCCCCAGAGATATATGACACATGATAAACATTACATTGTAATATGTAAAATAATACATCTGTGTATATATATGTGTACTGGGAACTCTAAGTCTCTGGCTGGAGAACTAATGAGAACATGACCTTACCAACATGTTTGAGAGGAGTTAATAATCTAATAATCCTGGGATGTGACTATCTGATAGAGGATTGGAATTCTGGAGCTGAAAAGGGATGGTGATGGTGAGGGGGAATAGGAGTTCACAGATTCACTCATCTAAAACATATTTATTGAGCTCTTATATGCCAGGGATTGTACTAAGATCTACAGATCAATAAGAAGTAAAATTCAACATGTTTTCCCCTTCAACGGAGTTTACAACCTAAAGTGGTGGTCTTTAAAGTAGGGTACATACACCCCAGGGATTGAGTGAGATGATGCCATCAGAAAGCAACTACAATACAGGGTGGTGATGCTATCATGGAAACCAAGAAACACGTCAACAAAGAACTGTGTAAAAAGGCAGCCTTTGGGGGATGGGAAGAAATCGTAAAACGTCATACTTAATCACACAATAAGAAAAATCACTTGATATTTAATGCATAGCTTGACAGTTATATAAGCCTGAATTTAAAATAAAGATATTTTGGTCAAGTGGGCTTAAAACATTTTATTGATGGGTAAGTACAATACAAACAAGTGTAGCGTAAAACAAGATTTTTGGAATCTCAAGTTAAATTAGAAACTTTTAAAACCTGGAAAGGCAAAACTTAGATGGGATGACAGAGATGAGCCCTGGCCTTGGGCTACTTGCAGAAGAGTGAGGAATGAAGGAGATATCTCACCAAAATCGTCTATGCCACCAGCATATGCTTTCTGCGTGCCCCTTGATGTTCATAGCATCATTTACCACTCTGCATTGTAGTTGCTTCCTGACTGTATCATTTCCCAGGCCCAAGGAGTCTTTGAAGGTTTTAAATTTCAAATACCTCACATAGTATCTAGCAAATTGAAGCCATTCAGTGTTTGTGGAGCTGAATGGCAACTGACCATCTGGATTATTTGTATATGTTTAATTTACTTAATTTGTACATGGTTTGCATACTTGCATTCCTATTGCAATGGCCCACTGCCTGGAAAACAGCTGGCACGTGATAAACATTACATTGTAAATATGTAAAAGAATAAGTTTGTGGGCCAGGCTTGATGGCTAACGCCTGTAATCCCAACACTTTGGGAAGCCGAGGCGAGCGGATTATCTGAGGTCAGGAGTTCAAGACCAGCCTGGCCAACATGGCAAAACCTCATCTCTACTAAAAATCCAAAAATTAGGCGGGCGTGGTGCCACGTGCCTGTAATCCCAGCTACTTGGGAGGCTGAGGCAGGAGAATTGCTTGAACCCGGGAGGTGGAGGGTGCAGTGAACAGAGATCGCGCCACTGCACTCCAGCCTGGGCGACAGAGCGAGACTCTGTCTCAAAAAAGAAAAAAGAATAAATTTGCCTACATTAAATGGTCAACTGTTAGGTGGATGGACATAGAGGAGTAAGAATACAGCAAGAGGGGCACACGAAGAAAGGCTAAATATCTGGGGTTTGAATGGGGAGGCAGTAGGTTACAAGGCTAATTAAGGTCTTTAATTATCCAAATATCGGTGAAGAACAGCAAGGATTTTCCGTTTGTTCCCTGAACCCCTTTTGTCTTTAGTGCTTAAATTTGCTTAGCTGAAAAGACACTTATTCCCTCTTTCCTTATTTAACAATCCTTTAGAATAATTTCTAGAGTAGGAATGGAGTTGATAGCGGCCTCCAAACAAAAATCAGAATCCCTAAGAAAAATACACTGTAAATCCTTTGCCAGCGAGTTAAGGTTACAACAGTTCTGAGTCATTTTGTTCTTGTTGCTTTATCTTGTTCAACTGCAGACCTTCACTCCGGCGGTCTCCGTGGGCATTTAACCCTTTCAGCTTTAACCAAGAAGTGGATCCCCCTTCAGAATGACATGAGTCATAGAGGAGACCGTAACGAGGGTGGGCTTCTGCCACTCAAATGCGGCCACAGACTCCTGCCACGCCTGGCAGTAAAAAAAACCAGAGTTCAGGGCATCGAGAACTTCACTGGGGCTATTGCGCAGGCTCTGCGTTCCACGCAGGCTTATTAGGAAGAAAGGAGAAAAAAATTTCCCAGAGACACGTGAAACCGAGGAGGCCAACCCCGGCCTAGGCTCTGCACCGCATCGGATTCTGGAATTTACAATCACGAAAGTTCTATTGTCCCGCGATTGGCTCCGGGTCCGCATGACATCATAGCGCTTGATTCATCCCTCGGGTCCCGATTGGCTGGCCGCGCCATTGTGACGTCACGGTCAGCCCACGTTCTGATTGTAGACAGCCGGCGCCTTCCTCTTCCCATCGCGGCGGGTCCTAGCCACCGGTGCCTCTTTCTACATCCTCCTCTGCTCCGGCTGCCACCCGCGCTCCCGCCGCCGCCGCCGCCGCCGCCGCCGTCGCCTTGCTGTTGCTCAAAGCTGCTGCCGCCCCTCGGGCTAAAAGGTAAAGCCGTCAGCTCCGGGAAACTTCGCCGGGGACCGCCGCTCGGCCATGACACCCGCGCGAGCGCGCGGCCGGCGAGCGGTCAGAGAGAACTGCCGTTAGGTCTCGGACCTGGTGCCGAGAAAGAGCTGCCCGGGCGGCCCCCGCTTCGCCCGCGGCCTCCAGCTCCGCCGGCTCTGGGGTACAGCCCGGCTTCTCGGGCGCGGGGAAAGGGGTGCGGGCGCGGGCGGCTCGCCCCACGCCGAGGCTGAGGCAGGCACTCGGGAGCGTTCTCTGTGCTGCGGTCGCACCTGTGCGCGCTGACAGGCGCCGCGGGGCACGACACCGTGCCCAGAGCAGATGCGGGAGGGATGGGTCTGTCCGCCTGGGTCCTCCCGCCCTGTCGGCCGGAGCGCGCGGCGGGAGATCCGGGGGAGCGCTCTCAGAGGGAGCGCGCTTTCTTTGGAGGCGGCGAAACCCGAGTGAGTTGGAAGAGCCTGTGCGAGGGTCCGCGGGCACCGGGCGCCGCTGGGGGGACCCTCCAGCCTTTTCTTTTTTTCCTGTTCTCTCCGCCTCCGTTAACCCTTCGGACCTTCCCTCCTCCCCTCGGAGGGAAGCCTGCTAGCTCTGGAGCACTTCAGTTTTTATTAAAACCAGACAACGGCAGCCCTTGGTGTCTGGGAGGGATGAGGCTGGTGAAAAGGCGAGAGGGCGGGGGCTCGGGGGCGACCGGGGCGGCCCTTTCTGGGAGCTTGATCGCTGGAGAGGCGGGCGCGGTTGGCGGCGAGGGAGGCACGCGGCGCGGGGGCGGTTCTGCCCTGGGCTGGGGGAGCTGGAGTGTGTGTTGTGTTGCGAGTTGTAAGGAAAAGTGCCTTTTTACTGTTTCCACGCCAGTAAGACTCTCCCATCCCACTTCCTCGGGTGGAGGGAGTAATGCCTAGAGCAAGAGTTCTTGCTGTACCGTGTCTGGCAACCGTTCCGTGTTCTTGCACTTGGCGGTTCCCCCCGCCCCATCCACAATTGTGAATTAAGCTCCTTCATTGCAAATTTGGAGAATGCATTTGGCCAAGTTATGCCAAGTGGCGGGGGTGGCGGTGTGGGGGTGGGGTGGGGAGGTCTCTTTCGGAAGAATCCAGTGCGTGGTTTATTAGCTGGACCGAGGAACCGAGAGGTGCTGGATGGCATTTGTGGGGAGCGAGCAGCCTAATTTGTTTTAAATAGCGGGACCCGTGGCAGGAAGTGCTTCATAGAATTGTACGGAAGAGCTGATGTTGCTTGTCAGGTTTTGTAACTCGTTCTCTTAACCGCTTGGCAGATAACCTGTTGGTCTGCACTTGTTTTGCTTGCACGTCTCAGCCAAAAGCATTTGGTGCAGAATCTACAGATGGAGACAGGCGGTTGTGCATTAGATGGCCGTGGACAAACGTTTTAGCCTTACATCTGTGGTTTGGGACAAGCGAGTTACTTTTCTAGTAGCTCAGACACTGCCTGGGATTCTCCAGAAAACTCTGCACTTGAAAGGGAAATGTTACTCATTTTCCTTTTAGATTTTTACCCTAGATTCTAACTTCTTATTGCCAGAACTTTTTCTGTACTGTTTCTCTTTTTGCATTTTCGCTTCTATTTCTAATTGAAGACAAAGGGAAAATTTTTATTGATACAGATAGGTAATGTTACAGAATGTAATACAGAACTTTGCTGAAAAGTGACAGTAGAAGGTATACTAAAATTTGATAAGTTTTTCAAGAAAAATATCTTGTAACTTCAGATATTGACCTCGCCTTGACTCAATTTCCTTGTCTATAAATGGGGGTTTTATGTGGCAGAATCATTGTGGATTTCAAGAGATAATACAAATGAGAGCCCAGCATTGGGTCTGCCAAATGGTGGTTTGAAAATGTTTCCTTCTCCTTCCCTGAAATCAACAGAGCTTCTTCTTGGTTACAGACCTTAATTTTTGAATGTTCGATGTTTGCAAGAATCTTCTTTTTCACTACCTCCTCTTTTGCTCGCTGCATAATCGTTGCTTGTCTTCCTGCTTCTAGAGGTGAGCATCCATCCTTGGGTGTCTTATTTCCAGCTTGAATTACACAAATCAAAGCAAAACTGTTTTCTTTTTTTAAGGGTAACTTTGGTGCCTAGGTGGGTAGTTAGTAGAGAGGGTGAAAAGAGAGTTTTACCTCTTTCTTTCCTGGCTACATTCCTCTCTCCTAAAACATTTTGTAATTTTTTTTTGTTTTATTCCTCCTCTTTGCCTGCCAGCTCTTCTGTTATCAGAAGGATAATCCTCTCATTAGTTACCCATAAATAAATCTTTCCTTGAATGCTTTCTGTGTCAGGTACTTATTAATACACACATGTACCTAAATGGTTGCTTTCCACACGTAAGTCTTGTAACACCCCTGTGAGGTTTTATCCCCTAGTTGTTTTTTAAGAATTGAGGAGTACTATGAAGACACATGCACACATATGTTTATTGCAGCACCATTTACAGTAGCAAAGACTTGGAACCAACCCAAATGCCCATCAATGATAGACTGGATAAAGAAAATGTGGCACTTACACACCATGGAATACTATGCAGCTGTAAAAATGAATGAGTTCATGTCCTTTGCAGGGACATGGATGAAGCTGGAAACCATCATCCTCAGCAAACTAACACAGGAACAGAAAACCAAACACTGCATGTTCTCACTCATAAATGGGAGTTGAACAATAAGAACACATGGACACAGGGAGGGGAACATCACACACCCGGGCCTGTCGTGGGGAGGGAGAGCATTAGGACAAATACCTAATACACGCAGGGCTTAAAACCTAGATGATAGGCTGGGTGCGGTGGCTCTTGCCTGTAATCCCAGCACTTTGGGAGGCCGAGGCGGGAGGATCTGGAGGTCAGGAGATCGAGACCATCCTGGCTAACATGGTGAAACCCCATCTTCACTAAAAATACAAAAAAAAAAAAAAAAAAATTAGCCGGGTGTGGTGGCAGACACCTGTAGTCCCAGCTGCTTGGGAGGCTGAGGCAGGAGAATGGCCTGAACCCGGGAGGCGGAGCTTGCAGTGAGCCGAGATTGTGCCACTGTACTCCAGCCTGGGCGACAAAGTGAGACTCCCTTTCAAAAAAAAAAAAAAAACCTAGATGATGGGTTGATAGGTGCCAGAAACCACCATGGCACATGTATACCTATGTAACAAACCTGCACGTTCAACACATGTATTCCAGAACTTTAAAGTGGAAAAAAAAACAAAAAGAATCTCAAAAGAATCTCTAGGATTAAGGCCTAGAGATGACAAGTGACTTGTCCAAATTCCTGTAGCTGTGTCTCCGGCAACATCTCTGCTCCTTCATATATCCCTGTGCTGCCAGGATTATTTGTCCAGTGGGCTCTGTGCCATTATGTAACACGGTTACTGCATAGCTTAGATTTTTATCTAACCTGTGTTTAAAGGTTCTTGTTAATCCATCCAAGACTAACAATTTATTGTCTCTTAAATCTGTCTAAAATCTGTTCCCTTCCTTGTAGCCCACACTCGATTTATTTTTTAAATTAACTCCTTGACTTCTCAGTTACTGATTATGGATGTGAGGGGCTAGATACAAAGATGAATGACAACAGTTCGTGATTCCAGAGGGTTTCCTGATTTAATATATACTTTAAGCCCTGTATACACATATTTAATCTACGCCTTGGACCAAAAGAGAGTCAGAAGCAGATATCTGGGAAACTTGTGTCTTTATATCTGATAAAGCTTCATGGCAGAGCTATCCATGTTAGATGTATCAGGGCCTAGCACTCCTGAATTGGTCAGGATGCTTTTGGTGCAAGAAACAGAAAACCCAACTCAGACTTACCTGTGCATCTGACCTGAAAAGTCCTGAGGGCAGGACTTTTGCTCCATTTCTCTGAAGTCCCCTCACATGTCTGTTATGTCCCAGGCTGATTTTCCAAGATGACCGACAGCAACTGCCACCGTAATCGCACATGGGGATTTCCTGACTTCCTACCACCCTCCAAAGAGGGTGCCTTAAGATGATTGACTTAGGCCTTGGTTACTTGAAGCAGTAACTGGAACAGTGGACATTTGATAAGCTGATAAGCTGAAGGCCCATCCCAGAATCAGGGAAGTAGAGTTAAATCTCCTCAGCTAGCTACTTCACCTTTAAGAAGGGCCTGCAGAACACAGGAAGTCAGCTACAGTGTCTATTGTAAGGACCGAACGGATGATTGGATTAAACGAAATTGACTTGAATTAAAATTAGAATTTAGCCTTATGTTTCATAAAGGACTCTTAGTTGATTGGCAGGAATAGGAGGACATGCATTCTAGGCAAGAGGGAGTTTGGAGAGTAAGCTAGTGTGGAATCATTGGGCAAAAAGCAAATAGCACAATTGGCAGAAGCTGGTTTAGGAGGCAGGAGTGGAAGAAAAGACGAGAAAGGCAAGTTATTGATGTAATAATAATAATGGCTAACTTTTACTGAGCTATTGTATGTTAGACCTTGCACTGAGCCCCTCACAAGGACTTATTTCTATTATTAATGAATGCTACAGCATTCCCATTTTACAGGTGGAAAGAGGCCCAGAGTTTAGACATTTGATTTGAGGTCACGAAGCATTCCAACTTAGATCACCTTGACACCCTGGCCTGCTCCTTCTCCTAAGGTGTTTGGTAGAATACCACCAATAAGCTTTTGAATGACAGTGAGGATATTCTGAGTGCTGTGCTCCAGAAAGACAGGTTAGAGTGTAGGGTGGATTGGTGTGGATTTGTTAGAGATGGCAGGACATTGAAAAGCCCTGACCTGAAGCCACAGCCATGAGCACAGACTGGAGAGAGGTAATTGTGGGAGACTGTTTCCAGGATAAGACCTGAAGACCAATTAGATCTGAGGGACAGCAAGAGGAGGGGTACTCTTTCAAAGAGAAGAGGGAGCTTTGTAATCAGATGGAAATAGCCCCACAGCCTAGATGGATATCCAGACTAGCCATTTCTTCCAATTCCTCCTCTTCACAGCCAACCTTTGTCTTTTTTGGTTGCCTTTCTGCAAGAACGTGTTTCCACCACATTTCATCTATTGTCAGCTTTTCACATTTCACATCTGGGTAGAAGTGGAGCTTATAATCAGTGGCATCTTAAAATCACTGCAGGTAACTTTCCACATTTTAATATTATAGAATTGGGATGCCTCCTACACTTGTCCCTGGTGAGAAGAGGAAAGCTGCAATATTACCAAAGGTGGTGCAGCCAGATGCTGGCAGAGCCAGGCTCCTGGGCTTCTTCCACCAACTGGGTTACCTCTGCTCACATAATAGATGTTAAAACACACGTAGCTTCACGTGATAGGTTTATAGTAAAGCACATACATGTTTGTGTGTTTATTAAAACTGAAGTAATTTGAGAAGATTGGAAGGCATGATTGTTTAAGTAGGGTCCCTCATTCTTGTATAGAATCTGGCTGCCTTGGTTTCTTGTCCTAA